TTGCTGGTTTTACGAAGGCTTGTAGCCGAAAGTTCACATTGAATATAGCTTATGGCTTTGATTTTACTTGTTCGAGGAAAAGGTCAATGATTATTCACGTAGGGGAAGGCATGGGGTAAGACGGCCTAGCGGGGCAAAGCGGACCACCAGCCTTCCCGGCTGAACCGCTGCTGTTCTGTTATCTGCTTAACCCGCGCATGACTGGTGCATGACTGGGGGGCTCTACAGAGCCCCCCTCCCGTTTTTCGGCATCTTCTAAACCATTCGACGGATCAACACGACACTTGCGGTATCTTCAACGGCATCAATTTGACACCTTGTGTTCAAATTTCAATTTTCTAGCTACCATAGTTTCGCCGAAAATGACGTCAGAGTGATGTCATGTCGGCCGATTTTGATGCAAAATATTGAATTACGGCAAACGCTCTCAAGATCTCAGTTTTAAGGCTAGATCCAATTTCTTTGCATGAGTAGACTACAAATACACGTAGCTATCAAACTGCTATCCCGAATCTTCGAATTTTTGATCTTTTTAAACATGCATTTACAATTACACTAAAATATATTTTTTGATTAAAAAAAAAATATTCTTTTCAATTTTTCGCTAAAACCGAATATGGGTAGGTATGTGATAGAACACACACTGATAAACTACTCTAGTAAGTTTTAGCCCAATATTTTCAAAAATAGCCAAGTTATTTGCATTATTGTCAAAATTTACAATTATATATTTTTTAAACAATTTTTCAGTACGTTTTTGACATCGTAAAGCAATATAAGTAGTTCCATCGTGTTCCTGAGCTCAAACTGCACCTGATAGACACCTTTTTTGTTCAAAAATTTCATTTTCAAAATTTGCCTTTTGATCTAGCCTGAAACTTGAAAGTGACCTGACCTACGGTAAACTTAGCTGAAAATGACCTCAAATGACACTGACGACATTGTTTTCGAAATCTACGAGGAAAATGGACCATAAAACATGCGTCACGTGACCGATACCTACATGATATAAAATTCTCGTGACCTAGGCTGACCTGGCCTTGACCTGAAAAAAAATTCGAAGTAAAAGTTCGGTACCCTCAGAATACCTAAGGCATAAATCGAGGAGAGCGTTAACCAAAAATGAGCCTGATCGGACTTGTCAGCCAGTGGTCAGAGCCTAAATTGTGAACAAACTTTGTGAACAACAACTTTGTAGCCCTGCAAAGTGGCCTGAAAGTGGAAAGTGGCCCTTCGTAGGCTGGCAAGGACACTCAGAGGCTGGTAAGAGGCCCTCAGAGTCACTAGTACGTGTCCCTCAGAGGCGCCGATATGGGAACTCTCAGAGCTGCTGATGTAGGCCCTTATCCCTCGCCCTGGCAGGGGGGGGGGGTCGATGCGACCCCCTCAGGTTTTTCAAAGCTAGCGTAAAAACGGCGGCACGCAGCACCGCCAAATTTAGCACAGCCCATGGGGCAACCTTTTCACATATGATCTGAAAATTTCAGGTCCGGGTGACCTTGGGTCAGGTCAACACTCCACAGGCCAGAAAAACCGGAACAAGGTCATGGTCAAATGTCAATTTTCTTTATGCCCCTGTCAAACTCACAGTTTTGGACTGATTTCTTTCAAACTTTCAGGATGTGCTAAGTTCACCGAGTTGTATAACATATAGTTCGCTTTTTCGATGTCACTGACCTGAGGTCAGTTAGAGCCTAGAGGTCATTATGTCGTAATGTACGCCCAGTACACATGCCGATGTCGGCTCGACGTCGGCCGACGTCGGGGTGACGTCGGCAACTCGGTATCGGCATGCCGACGTCGGCCCGACGTCGGTCCAACCTCGGCACGACGTCGGCTGGATGTCGGATATGCCCGCATGTACCGACGTCCAGCCGAGGTCCAGCCGACGTCGGGCCGACGTCCGACCGAGATCAATTGCTGAGGTCCAACCGACGTCGGGGCGACGTCGGACCGACATCGGCCGCTGTTTTGACCGTTAAAATAATATAAAATACATGTTTCATGTTTCATAAAGAGCTTCTGTATTCAAAACATCCTCAGGAAACTCAAATCTTCCTCCAAGCCGCAACCCCTGATCCGGACTGGACGGGAAACTTTATCCCATTTGGGATTGCCCGTAAGCCGAGCTCGGCCGTAGCCGGGTGCGGTGAGTGCTTGGGGGCTGCTCGGCCTATCCTTTGGTCAGGCTCAGCTCCGGCAACTCACCAGGGCCGGGCCCAGTTCATATAGAAAGGCCAGTCGGCAAGTGTCACTTTGCCAAAGTGCCACTTATCAAAGGGACACTTTGGGAAACGTTGGTGCAGGTGTGTAAGAGTGGCTATATGAATCCATTGTGGGGTCGCCCTTTCCAAAAGTGTCACGTAACAGCAATGGGACCAGGGACTCTATATGAACTGGACCCAGGGTGCTCGCCAAGAAGACCAATGTCTCCATCCTATCATACTTCCGGCTCTGAAATGGTCTTGTCAGACCGAAAGGGCATAACCCAACAAAACAAACTCAATTCGCTATCCGGCTGCGTGGTGTAGTGGTTAGCGCACTAACCTCGCGTTCAAACGACACGGGGTTTGAATCGCATCGTCGGCTGATGCTTTTGGCGTGTTGTCCCAGTAAACATGCCGACGTCGGCGACTGGGGGGCTCGAATCCCGCCGCCGGTTGATATTTTTGGCGCGTTGTTCCAATAAACATGCCGACGTCGACCCCGTCGGTCCAACGACAAACGATCTCGTCAACCTCGGCAAACGACCTCGGCCCGACGTCGGCTCGACGTCGGCTCGACGTCGGCTGGACTTCGGCTGGACGTCGGAACATGCGGGCATATCCGACGTCCAGCCGATGTCGGGCCGAGGTTGAACCGACGTTGGGCCGACGTCGGCATGTTTACTGGGACGTTAACCCGGCAGGTGGTGGGCCTCCCGGCCACCTTCCGCGCGTTGGGGGGGGGGGAGCATTTTTTTGCCCCCCCCCCCCCGTATCACCGAAACTACTGGACGGATCCGTAAAATTAAAAACGGCGTTCGATAGCCCTGTCAAATTTGTCCAGCGAAACCAAATTTCATTGACCTCGGAGTCACCGATGACGTCACAGGTCAGGTCAAAGATAAAATGCTTCACCGGTCACGGGTCTTCTAGGGAATGCGCTATAACACCGATTATAACGCATTTTGTCGAAAATCAGCGATAGGACGTAAGTTACCTAGTACATATGTTGCTGTTGGAGGTCACTGATAATAACAGGTCAGGTCACACTCACAGGTCAAGTCACCAAGGGTCAGCACATGAACCCAACTTTACTAGGGTTGTGCGATGCATGTTTTATGGCCACTTCTTCATTTCCAGCTCAATGGTGCTGGTTATAAGACCATCAGGAGGTACGGTTAGGTCACTTTTTGGTGGAAGTCAGGTCCATGTCAGGTCAAAAAAGGTCAAATTTCAAAGTTGATAGTTTTGCATAAAATGGGTACTGGTTCGCTGCAGTTCGTCACGGCGAGTCTAATGGTGGTCTTTGTTTTTCGCTATGTGTTCTAGAAGTGCTAGAAATTGAGTATGAAAATTTGACATCAATTTTGAACATCAAATTTTCGCTATAACTTGGCAAAAAAAGAGAAATCGATCTCAAATTTGGTATGTGGATAGAAGGTGGCTGGGACTATCACATATATTCCGTTTTTTTTTTATTCAAAAAACTTTTGGGATTTTTGGCTATTTTATTCAAAAGTTTTTTTACTCTTGGGGGTTAAAATCCAAAATTTCAATTAGCCGAGATAAGTTTTATAGCCCTGTTCATTCTACACCTTTTATGTGCAGAACATTTTTCTGTATGTCTAAAGCTGTAGGCCTGACAGCTCTTCCCGCGAAACCTTTTTTTTGGGTCGAAAATGGCAGAAATGACGTCACTCCGACGTCAATAGAGGCCAACCTATCATAGCCTTTGGAAAATTTTTGGTCACAATGTGTAAAAGCTATTCCCGGGAGGGTACTAAAAGTTTGGTGACAATCGGCGCAACGGCTCTGGAGATATATCGAAAAAAGCTAGGGTGGGGACCCTCCCCCACCGCCTTGAAGGTTTAATCGTACCAGTAAAACGCCTTTTGGGCGAGGAACGAGCGAGCGAGATAGTGAGCCCTGCACGTGCGGAAGGGCGAGAGGGTACTTCCAACCGGCTTGCGCAAAGCACCCTTCTAACCGGTCGCTAGCGGTGTACCAAATTTGAACGCAATCGGCCCAGCCGTTCCTGAGATCTGGAAACGGCATTCTGCACGTGCGCACGTGCAAACGGGGTCCAAACTGACTTTTGCACGGCACCCTACTAACTGGTCCCCAACCGTGTACCAAATTTGAGCGCAATCGGCCCAGCCGTTCTCGAGATCTGGAAGCGCCCCCTGCACGTGCGCACGTGCAGTAGCACCCTAACCGCAACACATGGGAATGCATTGCCTGGTGGGTGACTACCTGTATGCCAAGTTTCAGCGAAATCGCCCCAGTAATTACCGAGTTATTAAAATGGGAACAAATTTGACACCTCTTATTGTTGTATTTTGCACGTGCACTGGGGGTGACCCACATGCATCGAGAGTATCCTATTTTTGGTAGAAGGGATGCTGCTACCCTACAAAAATTACCGCAAGTCAATCGCCCAAGCGGCTGCTGAGATATGAGCCTCTCAAAATCACTACTTTTGCAAAACAGCTTGAACACCCTTGACTTTCCACGTGGCACGTGCCACGACGGTCACTAAGGTGTAACAAAAGTAGTCAATTACGGGGTAGAAGGGATGTGGCTACCCAACAAAAAAGACCGCAGGCCAATCGGTCCAGCGGTTGCTGAGATATAAGCCTCTCAAAAGCGTTACAGGCCGGGCCGGGCCGGGCCGCTCATACTGAGATTTTTCCGTTATATTGAAAAGACTCGCTTCGCTCGCTGCGCTCGCTCGCTCGTAATTATTCTCATACCATCACCAGGCATTAGCAGGCTGGAGAACCATGATTCCGCATATTTGATATGTGAAAAAATGTATTTTTATGCCATATACATATCCCGGTAGGCCACTGCCCTTTGGGTACAAAATAACGTGGTAAAAGCCCACTGAAGCGTGCTGATTTGGAAAGAGGAAGCATCTCGGAGCTGCCGGGACGGGGTGTATCCAAGACAGCGTAGCACCTTAGCCCTCGGCAATCACTCAATTCACTCAGCCCTCAGCAGATAACTCAGCTCACTCAGCCCTAACTCGGCGAGACACACTGTCCGAGGGTACCTTCGCCTGCCGCGCGCTGGCAGGGCGGCATCCCCTCCGCCCGCCCTGCCCCCGAAGGACCAATCGAGCGTACCAACAATGGTAGAATCAGCGCCATCGTAAGTCTACGGCAAGCCATCGCGGGTGGCACTGAACACGTCTGGTCGCACTCTGTTATTACTAGCCAGCACGGCAGCGGGAAGCGATTAATGAGGCGAACGCTACGAATACAGAGAGCTCGAGCCGGCCGAACGGAACGAGTTCTACTCAGCCTCTGGTCGCGGACGGACCGATCGCCGTCGATCACTGGTCCGCCTCGGGTTGGATACGAATCCCGCTCAGTCTGGACCTCTTTTCCCTGACACCTTGCCGCGCACCCTCCTATGCACGCGGACAGCACAGCCCGGGCGGTATGCGGACCGGGCGCAGGCCAACGACCGGTGGCCGGGCGGCGCCGCACTACTGACTGCCAACTGACTGCAGGGAACTGGAGCTGCTCTGAGCGATCTGCGCCTGCATCCGCTGCAGCATGTCCTGCATGCGCCGCAGCTCGGCGTCCTTCTCCTGGATCATGCGGTCCTTCTCGGAGACGTCGTCGGCGCCGGTGACGGAGGCGGCGCGCGCCTTGGGCGCCGCCTGGCGCGCCAGCCGCTCCGAGCGGTAATTCTCGTAGTGGCTGTCGTGCGTCATGTCGTCCAGGTCCTGTGGGGGTGCAGCCCGTGTCAGACGCATGCCGCCGATCCGCACCATAACTATTGGGTTACCCAGGATTATCAATAAAAAAATATACTAACAATATCGGTGGCAGATAAAGTCACCATATCCACGAGGCAAACGACCCGAACATATACAATTGAAGGACTCAAAAGAAGAGCTTAATTGGTGACGATAGGTAAGCATGAAAGCTGAAACTGTACAACAGTCTCCAATTCTCCATATTATTTTCTTTTATTATAGGATACCAAACAAAAGCCAATGAATCCGATTACATTTTGGGCCACAGTAGCTTCGATCCGTGTTGCACCAACAAGCACTTTACTTTCAAACACACACAATAGTTTTTCAAACGCTATTTCTGAAGGACGCTTATCAAACTTTTGAACTCAGCATTGCACCAGGGCCTCAGCCGCCAATACGCTGGCATTTATAGCCTACCTGCATGTGTGTCATGAGCATGGTCCGCAGCTTGATGAAGTCGCAGTGGTTCGGGTTCTCGACGTCGATCACGCCCCACGGATACTGGCGACCGCGGATCTTCTTCCCTGAAAACAGTTGACTCAATAAATATCAGGGTTGCATATAGCGCGAAAAAATATAAATTGATATGTATGTATGTTTTTTCATCTACGTTCGTTGTCACGTGCCGTCCCCCGTGATTTATAACAGCCATTTAAAAGTGTAAGGCATACCTAGCCTAGTTTAAGCCACCTAGCTCAATCCGTTCTCTCAAGGCGCCTCTCCCACCCATCAGGCAATACATATCATCGCCTTATAAGGTCGTAATTCTCCTTACTGCACGCAACTATTTGCTCATTGCCATTTTTTATTATCATTATTATCATTGCAATTATTGCTTGTTGCAGGTTAATTCTCGAAGACACGGAGAACTTACGAATTACGCTACGGTCGCTACTATTTCAGCGGCCATCTGCAGCTCACAAACAGGAGAGTACTGGGCGCTGAAGCTCCCAAAGTGAATCGATGGCTGAATAAACTGATATGCGAGCGCTTTTATGACATCCACGCGTGTTGTGTTAGAACCGCAATATGTAAGTGAAGCGTACCTGCCACCTCGATCTGCTGGCTGCTGCCGCACACCGCGAACGGCATGGCCGCCTTCAGCTGCTTCACCTGCCACCGAGACGCACCGGGAGAGTGACATCAGGGGAGCAGCGAACATGTTACAGTGAACATACTAATAGGTAGCTTAGACAAGATCGGGAACACTCCTACTGCCGTATGGCGGACATGAATAGAGACTAAATCACGAAACGAATAAAACAATTTTGTAAGACGTCAAATGTTGCGATCAAATCAAACGCTATCCATTTATATTTCCAGCAAGGTTAGATGTCATAATGCGCTTTGCATACTTCTATAGAGTAAATATGAGAGGTCAAATAATAACCTAGGTTTGAAGATGCTTCACTGGGGTGGGGACACACTAGTATAACAAAAAGTTGATCGGGCATCGGGCTCACACCGTTCCATGCTTCCATCCTCAGGATACGGAAATCCTTCTCCTCCACGCCGCAACCCCCATCCGGGCTGGACAGGCAACTTTATCTCATGCGGGCTGCACTCTTGGAGCGGCACCGCTGCTCCCGAGGAAGCGCACCCCGTAGCCGGGTGCAGTGAGTACCTTGGGGCTGGGTGGCCTGTCCTTCGGGATGGGCTCAGCCCCGGTGACTCACTAGGGTGCCTGCCCAGACCAATGTCTCCCCCTAATTCCTATCATCCTTCCGGCTCTGAAATGGTCTAATTGGACCGAAAGGGCCTAACTCAACAAAACAAACAAGCATCGGGCTCTGTCGCCTTCGTTAGGACATAAGTCCATTCGACATTACTAATGAGCGGAAGCCTATAAATAGCTTGCTAACTGAGACGAAAAAATCAAACGAAAGCGAACATGAACACATGCAAGCACAATCTACTTACACCCGTAGGTACAAATCCTACAACGGTATGCTAATTGATTCGGACATTGCACAATGCACAAGCCACCAAATCATTCATTGTTTCTATTTTATAACCTATCTGTGAATATGGTCACAATGCCACCTAATAACAACCCTATTTATTCTTTGACGTGCATTAATTCCCAGCCACCCCCTACCTATATGTAGAGCCCGCCCCAGTGAGCCGTTAGCAAACCTCAGTGAGCCGTTAGCCCGCCCCGGTGAGCCGTTAGCCAGCCCCTACCCAGTGAGCCGTTAGCCAGCCCCGGTGAGCCGTTAGCTAGCCCCGGTGAGCCGTTAGCTAGCCCCGGTGAGCCGTTAGCCAACCCCAGCCCCGGTGAGCCGTTAGCCAACCCCAGCCCCGGTGAGCCGTTAGCCAGCCCCGGTGAGCCGTTAGCCAGCCCCGGTGAGCCGTTAGCCAGCCTCCTCCCTATACAGCCAGCCCCGGTGATCCGTTGGCCCGTCCCGGTGATCCGTTGGCCCGCCCCCTCCCTAATACAGCCAGCCCCGGTGAGCCGTTGGCCAGCCCCGGTGAGCCGTTAGCCAGCCCCTGCCCGAGTGCCCAGTGAGCCGTTAGCCAGCCCCGGTGAGCCGTTAGCCCGCCCCGGTGAGCCGTTAGCCCGCCCCCTCCCTATACAGCCAGCCCCGGTGATCCGTTGGCCAGCCCCGGTCAGCCGTTAGCCAGCCCAGCCCCGGTCAGCCGTTAGCCAGCCCCGTTAGCCAGCCCCCTCCCTATACAGCCAGCCCCGGTGATCCGTTGGCCAGCCCCGGTCAGCCGTTAGCCAGCCCCGTTAGCCAGCTCCCTCCCTATACAGCCCGCCCCGGTGATCCGTTGGCCAGCCCCGGTGACCCGTTGGCCAGCCCCGGTGACCCGTTGGCCAGCCCCCTCCCTATACAGCCAGCCCCGGTGAGCCGTTAGACAGCTCCCTCTCTATACAGTCCGCCCCGGTGATCCGTTAGCCAGTCCCCTCTCTATACAGCCAGCCCGGTGAGCGGTCGCACCTGTTCCTTGTACTCCTCGTCCTCGTCCGTGTCGCAGTCCGGCAGCTGGTACACGCGGATGCCGTGCTCGCCGATCTCTGTGCGCAGCCGCGCCTTCAGCCGGTCCATCTCGGCCTTGGTCAGCGTGTCCGCCTTGGCCACCACCGGCACCAAGTTCACCTGCCCAGCCAGGAAACACTCCATTTAGAAATGTAGCGAAATGTTTTAGTAGGTGTCTGTCATGCCTGAATGCCATGCCGCAGGTGATGAGGATTTTAACTATCTGGAAGCGCCGAGCTCATCCATCAAATGTAGTTTGATAATAACAATTTTGACCGGAAGTTTAATACAGAACGGTACGTGGCAGCATTGCACATTAGGTCCAGCTAAGTAGCATTGTCACCAGTTTCCAAAAAGCCAAACACAACAACCTACCTGGACTAATTGTAATTCCTCAAACTATGACTCATCCAGTGTTCAGAAAGTACCTTGTTGTGCAGCATTTTCATGAACTGAACGTCCAGCGGCTTCAGGCCGTGCCCGGCCGGGTTGATGAAGTAGAAACAGCAGTGTATCCGGTTATCGACGATGTTCCGTCGGTTCAGCCCGGACTCATCCTTGAAGTACTTTTCGAACTGGTCGTCGATGTACTGGACAATGGGCTCGAAGCAGTTCGTGTTGTCGATGGCGTCACCGAACCCTGGAGTGTCTGCGGAAAACGGCGAACATGCATCGGTTCCTGACCGGCTCAGCACCGCACTACTCGCTAATAAACAGAAAGTGATGCATTCATTAGGGTTACCTTTATCCCGATAAACACTATAACACATGATTAGCGTGATGCCTGATATCAAAATCTACAGGATTCAAGGACAAAGTGTGAATTTCGGTCCTGAGCTTTAAACTTCTGCAGTATTCCACGTCACGCAAATGGAAGACTGGTTAGCACCTCGGCAATCAGCACGACAATAAAGGACGATTTGCCGTTGACTTGAGTACCAGACCAAACACGGGAGACTCCTCGCTTTGAGCATAGACTGCATGTAAAAACAGCCTTACCTACAACCGTGAGCCGCAACTTGACACCGCGCTCTTCGATTTCTACCGTGGAAGCCTCGATCTTAACCGTGCGCTTGATCACGTCGGAGGCGGCTGGCACCTGCACACAACAAAGCATAGGTTACAAGCATCAAGACTGGCTCAGAGTTGGTGGAATCTGACCAAGTTTAGTTTAATTTAGATTATTGAAATGTCACCAATGGTAGCTCTGTCTAAGCTCTAACAACAGAATCTGAATCTAGTTGTTTTAAGGGTTTATATTCCTGCTCCAAGCTCCTAGCTTATACGATAGGTAGTGAAACACAATTGTTTTTCTCCGTCACTTAAGTAAGAGGTGAGACAGTAGCATATTAATGCCCATTTTGAATATCCCTTGCCACATTCTGACATGCAGAGGTAAAAACAATTATGTTAGGGTGACATCTGGCCTGACGTGATTCATCCTGACCTGGGGTACCTAATCATTCTTGTCTTTGAACAGACGCATTGGTCAGGCAGATTTCTTGACCTCAATCAATCTTATTTTAACTCACCTGTCGTTCTGGGTACAAGTCAGTGAGAAAGAGACTATTAACAAGGGTCGATTTCCCAAGCCCTGACTCGCCAACCACCATCATAGTGAAGCCAAATCCCTTCTTGACTGACTTGCGGTGCACCTGGTTGGGCAGGTTGGCAAAGCCAACATAGCCAGGTGCCTCCGGGTTGCCAAATTCTGAGCGGCTGCTCATTTCCTGGAGCATAAGACAAGAGCATTGAATTAAATTGCATATATGACATGATCTATGGATATGACAAAAGAACATGATGCAATTCACAAGGCTAACATAAAAAAGCTCTGTGTAAGTCGTAAGAGTACAAAAACATCACTGTAGTCTTATCACCAACTGAGGAAACATTCTGATTTGGGGGTAAGTTCCCTGGGTAAATAAATCTGAAGATGAAGTAGGTAGGTACACTATGGTGAAGATAAAAAATATAATCTAACCTGAGCTAGCCTAACCTTCTGACCTACAAGCTTGAACCTACCAACCTACAGCCTACCAATTTACCAACCAAAATTGGTAAATGTCAAGATAAAGTCCTAAGAAGATTTCAAGGATTTTTTCTTCTCATAATCTTACATTATTTGACATCCCAAATCCAAAAATGATGCTTACATGTCATGCAAATAAAAGGAAATAGCATTAGCAACACTGACCTAACCTTACCTACTTACCTACTACAACCTACAAACCTACCAACCTACAACCTCAAACCTACAAACCTACAACCTAACCTAACCTACAACCTAAAATTTCCGCTGTTTCATTTTCGTATCAACAGCGCCACAAGTGTAGATCAGACCTTATCTTGACAAATACCCCGAAATTTATCTCCACATTATACCGTTCATAATCCTTGCCTCTGGATTGGGATTAAGCCATCCCAGACCCAATCCGGGTTCAATTCCTGGGCAAGTTGCGTGGCCTTGTCCCTACCTTTACCTGGTCACTTGGAACAGGATGAGAGTTCCAGTTAGAACTTGGTCCACTGGATATGGTGCTTAGCTTAATCAAAATTTCAAATTGCATTATTAGCACTGTCACTGACTTATAGTTACCTATTCAGCTTACCTCTTATTGTAGGTACCTAGGTCTCAAGGTAATTGATATTCACCAAAACCCTCCTTTTGTGTCTGCCTGAGGGATTTGTTCAAACAACCCAGCCAAGGTATATTAGGAACCCAGCAAGTTAAAACTTGAAAGTATGAATACCTTTCGTGTGAAAACTCGAAATCTTTAAAAAATTTCAAACAAAGATTTCCAACTCCGGTGACATCCGAGGTGTGGCCTGTGGCCATTTGCCTCTGCGATGCCAAAAGCTTCAACGTGATTGGGCAGCTCGGCAAATGACGTATACGAGGTAAAAGAGGAATACGCTAGAAGTAGCATTTATGACAAACAGAATCAATTAAACTAATTTTTCACCAAATTTGACAACTGTTGACCTTAAACTCATGTATTGTAAAAAAGATACTTTGATTTTCAGGTGTAAATGACGATTGTGTCAACATCAGCGATTTAGCTCACTTTCCCTTTTGTAGCAGCTTTTTAAGAAGACCATCGAAAATGTCCATCTGTGGCGCACGAGTTTCAATGAAATTCGCTCTTTAAAAAAAAAAAATAGCAGTGCATTCCCACGCGCTGAAACTAATAAATCAAAATTGACAGGGGGAAAGAGGTAAGGTAGGTTGATAGGTATTGACAGGTATTGAAATGTTAGGTAAGGAAATCAGGAACCCAAATTTTAAGTTCCACAGCAAGGTCAAGGTAAGGTATAGTTCAAGTTGGACATACGAGCCTCGACGCTTAGCGCCCTAATCCACAACAACAAGGTATCCAAAACACTTGCCACAAGTGCAAGCTGAAGCGGTGCAAGCACAAGTGCCTATACCAAAATTCAGCTTGAATTGTAAAAAAACTGCTGAAAAGGCTGTGTTAAATTGAGAAGCATTCTGGTCTAGGGGTTAGTTCATTGCCACCAGATTCGGCCATCCTGATCCGGGTTCGATTCGGCAATGCACGTGGCATTGCCGCTGCCTGACCGCTTGGAACAGAGTGAGTATTCCGGGTAGCACTTGGTCCACTGGATATAGTGCTTAACTCAAACCAAGTGGTGTTCAATGATTTTTAGATGTGAATGAAATAAAGATAATGGACTGCAGCCAGACTGGAAAAAATACACATTATGCCGAATATGTCCGGCGTAGTGGCAGGATTGCGCCAAAAATTTCTGCGCACGTCCGGCGTAACTTCGCATGTGCCGAATTCAGCATATGGCGGCGGACAAATTTTTCGGCGCAGGGCGATCGCATAATTTTTTGGCGAAAGACGGTCGCCGAATTTTTGTGGTACGCTGGTCAATCTACACCTTTTTAGGCGCAATTTCAAAAAGTTAAAGACCAAATTCAAAAAGTTTACATTCAAAATGCACGTGAACGTTTTGAATTTGGTCTTTAATTTTTAAATTGCGCCTAAAATGCTGTAGTAGCAGATTCGCCCCGCGGGCGGCTCTGGAGAAGTTTCGGGACGAGACGCCCCCTCCCCGCCCCGGTCGTCGCGTGCTCGAACTGGCGAGCCGCCCTGAGTCTACTCAGCGGAGGAACGGCCGCCCAGGTGAGGCCTCAACCTTCGGCGTAGAGATAGGTATGGAAAACCTTGTTGAACATCGCCAAGCGTCGTTAAATAGCAGTGGGTTCCTGCCCACTGCGGTATCAAGGGGAATGAGAGCGCGGACGACCTGCCAAAACAGGCGGCCGCCCTGCCCTCAAACGCCCGATCGCTGAACAGAGCGGTTCATTGTGCGGCCTCGCATCAGTGGCGCGACAACTGCTCAGAATCACTATTCAAGCCACTCCTCGGGAGCACGCCGCCGCTCCCTATCCCCCGAGAGGACCGAGAAGATGCCATTTCGGTGCACCAGATGAGGGCGGGCCACCGGGGCCGCTCGCTCCAGTACGGCACCGAATCGGCTGTCTCCACTCCGCCGCGTGCCAGCAGTGCCCAGACAAGCGGTGCCCAGCGGCGCTCTGCACGTGCACCGTGAGCCGAGAAGAGGCTGATGTGCCGGAGCATGTGCTGCTCCGCTGCCCGGCCCTCGCTGGCTCCCGCCGAGGTATTCTGTTTACGTGGAAATAAAAAAACTCACTCGGACGCTCAAACATGGGAGAGCGTACAAGGCCCCGAAACACTCTGTCTGGTTGATATAGCATTGATCAGTAGATGTGCACATGTGCTTTATATGAAAAGCAGGGATGCTGAGCCGTGGAAATTTCAAGCGGCTCCGGCTCCGGCTCCGGTTGAAATGTCATGGCGGCTCCGGCTCCGGCTCCGGCTCCGAGTAAAATGATTCGGCTCCGGTGGCTCCGGCTCCGGCGGCTCCGGCTCCGGCTTCTACTCAGTACATCCCCTATGCGATCAATTAAATACGGGTGGAAGAAAAAAGGCGATGGGATTGGTACACGTTGCTTCTGCATTTGTATAACAAGGCTATTTTGAATACGCCGTAAATTTTACGCCTTGTACTGTCAAACCGAACTAGGTAAATAATTGTTTCCTCTTAAAGGGACACTCCCACCTTAACCCTATTCCTGGCGGGGGGGGGGGGCTTCAGGAGCCCCCCCCTGAGGTTTTTTGGTTATATCTCCCAAACGCGTTGAGCTAGGAAGCTCAAATTTTCTGACTTTTCCTAAAAGGCTTCTACGCAACATGTCTGAAAATTTTGAGTTGATCTGACCTCAGGTCAGGTCACCAGAGGCGGTTTGGTGACGCTACCTCAGAAAAGTTTGCAATCACGCCAGAGCTAGAGTTTTTGACCGATCAATTTCTTCTCTTCAGGGTTTAGTTAGGGTACCAGTATGTGCAATTTGTATATCTCGGAATTTTGATATCGGTGACCTAAGGTCAGGTCAATTTCGCGACCTCCCCATTATAAGTCAATGGGGGAAAAATCAACTCCCTGTTTTTACCACTAAAACGGGTCGGAATGGCCCCATATACCATACATGACTTCATATACGATCAACCTTCACTACCTTGAGGTCTGTTTTGCTGTTGGGCAGCTGTGAGGTCATGTGACGTCATCAAAGGTCACCAAAGGTTTTTGGCCAATAACTCCGTACAGGAACAAGATACAGACGCGTGGATGGTCTCATTGTGTTCAGCTCGTCAAGACGCATCGAATGATATACATGATGACCTCGAGGTCACGTGACCTGAGGTCAACCTTTGACCTTGACCTTTCGAGGTCAACATATATATCATTCGATGCGGATTGACGAGAGGATCACGATGATGCCCTTAGTTTGTTCCTATCTTGACTAATTCGAAAGTTATTCGAGAAAAACTCTCTCCATATCTAGTGCCGCCATTTTGACTTTTTCGACCCCTGTGACGTCATCTTTGACCTGACCTGAAAATGACCTTAGTAAAAATTGTAGATCTTGGCCGTGCGTATCCGATGCCGTTTACCGCTTGTCGCTATCTTGCTTCGTTCTCGAGATCTCAGGGGGGGGGCCGAATCGGCCCCCCCCCCGCCAGTTTCTTGTCCCGGCGGAGCCCGCCAGGAATAGGGTTAACATTAGTTTTGAGTTGAGATAGGCAAATTGGTGGCCATGGCCTGCAAATACCGGTTTGGGCACTCACAACATCGACAAATGCTTTAATTCGGAGATATGAAATTTCAAACTTGCAGTTTTCGGATTCTAAGGGGCTAGTGCATTGGTATGCCCCCTTAGAATTTGTGACGTCAGCGGAGATCTAGCGATTTTTAAATCTTTTACTAAAACGTTTGGTAGCACGCGGTGGTATATGCTGCTTTGCGCGCAACAAATGCCGCACTTTCAAATAAAGTCGCTAGGAACAGCGGAGATCCCAAAAAGTAAACAAAAGTAAAAGTCTAATATCTTGAAAACCGGTGAATATTTTTCGATGAAATTTGGTAGATATTCGTTTTCGCTCTTTCTGAACCGAGCGACATCACTTTCGTGCTAATTCATTAACTTTTTTGAAGGTGGGAGGGTCCCTTTAAGAAAAGGAGCCGGAGTCGCCCCCTTTTTTGACGGCTCCGGCTCCGGCTCCGGGCTATATTGTTTCACGGCTCCGGCTCCGGCTCCGGCTCCGGGCAAATATGCCGGCTCCGGCGGCTCCGGCTCCGGCTCCGGGCAAATATGCCGGCTCCGGCGGCTCCGGCTCCGGCTCCGCATCCCTGATGAAAAGGGCTTAAATTTCGCTCAAATAGGCACCTAATTTTTGACGCAAATCACGTAGAAATTTCGGCGCAAAATCGCTTGCGCCGGATTTCTGCGCAACAGGGTCTCACGGGCGTCCGGCGTAGTGTATGGATGTTTTCCAGTCTGGGACGGGACTGCAGTTTTTTTTCTTCATTTTGTTACATGCCTTGGCCTGCAAAGTAGGTAGGTATGTAGGAATAGGTGCCTATTGACAAATGACAATCCTAACACATTACTTCAGGCTGAGATCTTTTTACCTGATACCTAGTGTAACCTGATACCTGATTGATGGGAATCGGATGAAGCATTTTGATTGCCTGGTAGATCCGTCTGATCGAGCTCGGGACGCGTCAACAAACTTAGTCTATTGGTTCGTTTGGTACTGGAGTTCTCTCCAGTGCTAGTCAAGCCGGTTTTTGTAGCTGTTGGTTGATGGTGCCCAGACAACGTCTTCAGGGAGGCCATTCCAATCATTCGCTACCCAGGCTGAAAGCTGCTGGCGCCTGGCTCGGCTATTCGCAGGCTTCTTGGCGATCTTCAATCTGTGGCCGTGAGTACGTGTTATGAGTGCAGGCATGAAGAAGTCGTCCTTGTTCAAGTCGCAGCGACCGTGGATGATGTTGTGGGTCGTGATCACTGATCATATCGCCGCGACGGCGCCGGTGTTGCAGGGCAGGGACGAAGGTTCAGTCTTCTCAGTCTTTCCTCATGGAGCTCGGGGACAAGGCGAGTCGCTCTCCTTTGTACTCTCTCGACCTGTCGCCTGTCCGCAGCATTGAATGGGCCCCATATCTGATTACAATACTCCAAGTGCGGACGGACCAGTGATTTGTAGAATACGGGAAGCGTCTTTCTGTCGATGTGCGCGAAGCTGTGCTTGATTAGTCTAAGCATTCGGTTGGCCTTACCGATGGCAGCTGCTGCTTGTTCCCTGAATTTCAGCCGTTGATCCACGAGAACGCCCAGGTCCTTCTCGATTTCTACCGCTTCCAGTGTGTGCCTGCGATGGAGATTGGACTTGGAGTATTCAGCCCGTGCATTACGATTGCCTAGGTGCAAGACCGTACATTTCGTTGGGTTAAAAGGGAGTCTCCCCAGGCTATAGAATGGTAGTCCAGCTCATTCTGCAGTCTTGTGCGGCTTTGTTCAGTGCTAGCTTCAGCGTAAATCTTCGTGTCGTCGGCGAAAAGTCTGCAATCACTGGTAACAACTCGAGGCAGATCATTCACGAAGATGATGAATAGCACCGGTCCCAGGACCGTTCCCTGCGGGATGCCGCTGCCAACATCAGTTCAGCCGGAGAAGCTCCCATTCACCACAACTCTGTCTCCTTCCCATCAAAAACGAACGGAGCCAGTCGAGGAAGCCGCCCCGGACGCCCATGTCGTGGAGCTTTTGAATAAGCCGAAGGTGAGGGACCGAATCAAATGTTCGCCGGAAGTCAAGGTAGGTGATATCCACGGGCTTCCCTTCCTCCATCTGCCTGGTCCAGTCCTCGAGTGCACTCAACAGCTGCGTTGCACAAGATCGTCCGCGTCGGAAACCATGCTGGCAGTCGGTTAGTTGGCCCGGTGTCTGTTAGATGTCTGAGTTGAGCAGCTCGTCACGCACGATGGATTCAAAAACTTTTGATGTGATGTGACCGACGTCAAGCTAACAGGATAGTAGTTGGATGGGTTCGTACGTAACTAGCCCCTTCTTGTATATGGGGACGACCGGGCCCTTC